CACACCCCTCGACCCCCATCGACTTCGGGATACCTCTGACACTGAGCTCGGTCAATCCTTTCGGGCCTGCGATCCGCAGGGCTTTGCCCCAAACGCGGGGGCAAACCCGAGAGAGCGCCGCGTGTGGCGCACCAGTGGTGCAGAAGCAGACGCCGGCATCACCAGGTCACAAGGCTCCGCATCGCGAGACACGAAGCCATGAACCCGGAGGAACTGTACAGGGGGTTGGACATACCCCAGACGCGTCTGGGACTGCCAGTCCGGACGGCCGATCAAGCCAGAGCCCTCTGGCACCACCGCCACCACCCCTGGCCGTTTCTCGGCCGTCCGCGGTCCCAGACAGGTCGCGTTTTGACATATGGTTGAGGAGCACGGGACACCCGTGCCATGGAGGCTTCGACCCTCCCACCCACATCCCAGGTCTGGGAGGGTTCTATCAACAGCCTACATGACACTCAAATCTTGCAATGCATCAGCATCCATACTTCTCTCATCACAATCACCTGCATTTTAAAAACAGGATCCTGGCTAGCAGGCATGGGTCAACGTGACTTCCGAGCAACGCACACGAAAGGAATCCCAAACAATGGCCAGAGTGGCGTGCCCGCTTCCTCTGGCTCTCTCTTGGCCGCTCTGCCCCCCAAACTTTTCACCCAAACGCTCCGTTCACAGCCCGACTGGTCCCGAACCAAACCATAGGGATTGGTTCGGGTCCGGGCCCCTCCAAAGGATTCGGGTACAGCCCCTGAGGGTCCAGGGTCCAGGGTCGCTACTATGTTCTGGGACCTGGTGGATGGCCTGGTGTCGATCGCATTCGATCGCACGGTCGGCACGGTCGACGACGTCCTCCTAGTTCGGTCGGCACCGTCCTCAGGTGCCTCGGATCCCCGTCATCACCGCGCCACCCACCACCGGAGCTACGCTCGGCCAAGGGGCGGGTCTCGTCCTGTTCCATCGCCCGTAGCTGCACCGTGCCGAACCTCCGCGCGCGGCGCGCGCGACGTGGCATGACCCGAAGTCACGGTATGACCGTCATGACCGTCATGACGGAGTCACGTGAGAACGGCCCGTCGAAGCTCTTCAGTGATCGAAATCCAACTGAGTCGGGGTGGGCGTCATGAAGCCACGATCCGCTGCTAGCAATCCCCAACTCGGCCCAAGTCCCCCCAAGTGTTGCAATGAGCACCTGCTTTGTGATCACCTGCTTGGTTGGGCCTATAGTGGGGCGTTTTCAACGAGCTCCCGAGGACTGCAAGTCTCCGCACTGACTCGACGTCACCAACCAGGCAGAAGACAGGTAGTCCTGGCAGGCGGCATCGCGCGCGGCAGGTCTCGGCAAACCCCGGAGGCCGGGTGTCGATGGTTTCGGTGTCGCCTTCTTTCCAACTCGCTCCACCAGGACTCAAGAAAAGCTGGCTGTAGCCTGTTCCCTAGGCTTCCTGGCCCACCATGAATTTAATAGGCTATACTACCGAATCCACTAAGGATGTTTACACTACCAAAACCCAGGTCGTTCCCATTGTTTTAATGCTCTTACGGAAGTCTAGGGTGTTCACAAAACTACAAAACTACGCTTCCCCCTCGAAGGATGGGTAGATGATCTGGCTGAGTGTTGGCACGGGTGAAGATGCCAAAGCTCAAAATTGCTTCTGAACCCAGGTCTAGTGAGAGATATTGAGAGATTTCTTGAACCCTACCTTGCTCTCTTGGTTTGTGGCGTGTTCATGGTATGCTCGTGTCACTCATTTTTTGATATTTTTTGTAGACCTGGTCCACCCAACAGCAGAAGCATGATCATCTACCAAGTGGACAAACCCACTGTCGTTTTTCCGGAATCCTCAACCATGCACATCATATGTGTGGTCGAAGGCACCTCAGGAAACCGAACTAAGGCAGATTTCGCCCAAGAGTGTCGAGACCAGCCAAACTACTCCCAATAAAAAGTGGAACTGGACAAAATAAGAACCGGTTTGTATAGAGGAAAGCGGGCTTCCAAGGTCTTCCAAGATCTTCCAAGGGGCCCATGACTTCCACTTCCAAGGGGTGTACCACGTGTCTTGGCGCCATGGATCGCCCACGACGGAAAGCGGGACCGTCCTCCTTGCTCCGCTGCAGCAGCCGGGCCTCAGTCAGCTGACGGGTTGGAACCCACCAAGGGGGGTGAAGAAGTCGAGGCTCTGTGCATGTCTGTGTACCCCAACAGGGTACAAATCGCTGAAGCTGCCCGTTTTCTAACGCATGCCGACCGACTCGCGCGCCCGTAACAGCTGCAGCGCTGTTGTTTCGGCTTGATCAGGACTCCTGACAGTCTTGTTGACATGCAGCAGGAAGTGCCCTTCGTCCAAATACAGCACCTCAAAGAAACGCGGGAAAGACCAGAAACTCCTTTTTTTTACACTTCATGCAGCTGTTGGAAGTGCCAGTAGCCTACAATGCACACGAATTAACAGGAAACAAGAAACAAAAACACGGCATCTGTGTCTCACGAAATTGCAACGGACGCCACGAAGCAGCCAGAACCTGTGTGGATGTGGAAAAAGGTGTTTGTTCAAGAGAGGCAGAATTGGAATGAAGAGGCTTTCGATTGGCCCTCAACTCACGAAAGGTTGATCTAAATCGATGGCATCCCGTGAGTCCCCCTTCGTTGGGCCAGTCGCCCCCCCTTTCCGTTGCCTAGATCGGTCCCACTTCACCAGCTTGGCCTTGTATAGATGTCATAGAAAAACTGGTGATCTGACTGGGCGCGACTGGCGCCACTCACTGCGTGGGGTAGATGTCTCCAAAGGCGGTCTCAACGCATCGGATGGGTCGCTGTCCACGATCGACCCGTCATCCACCGTCCCTTTTGGCCGGACGCGTTGGTAGAGGAAGACCCTCTTCCAGGGCCAAGCCGTTGTTGGTCGTGGAGTATACATTGACTCTCTAGGGACCTGGTCCCTCTTGTGAGTCCACAGCTGGACCTGGACCAAACCCTTCATATCCCTAGCTTCATATCGAAAGAGTGTGAAAAAGGACCGAGAAACATGCATGAATATGCATGATATTTGCTGAGGGCCCGTTTTCGTGGTTTTGGAGATCTTTCTTCCAACTCTCTCTTCCATTCGGATTGACACTCCACGCAGCGCGCGCTCCGCGCCTTCAAAGAGGATTGCACCGGGGCTCCAAACACCGGAGCCTCCGCAAACGGCTGGGCGGCGGGGCGGTGCGTGCGCACTTGTCACTGCCAGTGATCCAGGAAGTTGCCACGTCTCGTACCGTGTTCTCGTCATATTCTGCCAAACTTGTTGCGTCTTCTGCAATTCCGTGGCTTCGACACTTCGACAGGCAGCCAAGTGTGGATCATCTACCCAGTCTACTCTCAAAAACCTATATATAGGTTTTGAGAATGTCTTGGCTTTTCGAACGATCTCGAGGTCAGAACCTCTGGACCTCACACGGTTTTTGGCTTTCTCCGGATCCCGCGGATCGATCTCGGTCGGGTCTCCGATCGATTCGGGCGGGCGGCGGTCGCCTTCTCCGTCTTCACGTATGGGACAGGTGGCACCTGGTCGTGCGAGCTCTGCTCCAGCTCGCACCGCGGCAGGTCGAGGCGCAAGAACTCTTGGTGGGTGCAATGGGAACCTGCATAGGAACTAGACCTAAGGATTCATGATCTGTAAATCTTGACCTAATGGGTGGTACCAGCTTGGGTTCTCTGACCTGGAGAAAACCATCACATCCTAGAAAGTCTGATGGTGAGTGTCTCCCTGTTGATTACCATTAATTTAAAGCCAATAAGTAAAAACAAGGAATGAATTTTATTAGGTTGGTCCGTCCCAGCGTATGAAAGAAAGAATTAATAAAATTCATCCCCATCATCCAAGAACCACCAAATAAAAATAAATAAATGGTGGGCATTCTATCTTTATAGTTCTAGAAAATACCATGAAAGATAGAATGCTTCTTGGATGATTTGTTCCTTGGCAGTTAATGGTCAATAATTCTTTGTAATAGACGGTTATCTGTAAAATCCATTAACTGCCATATCTTTCATGAAATTTCTTTGGAAATTTCTCTATTATTCATTCCTTCCCTTTATTTTCATTATTAAAAGATCATTCACTTATATGAAAATAAAGGGGAAATATAATCTTCAATCTATATCTCATGATCGTATATTTAATTCTATTTTATCCGAGGTCAAAGGCTAGTGTAAATAACTATTCATGATCATCATTTATTTTGTATATCTTCCTCTTTTGAATGTAAATGAAGGTACAAATGAGTTGGCAAAATAAATGATGATTATTAATGAAGATTACCCACCTATAAAATATTATGATGGTGGGGTTTATTAATAATACCTAGAGCTTCGGGAGACGTTTGTTTTTAAGGCTGCGCATATTTTTGGTCCGAGACCAAAAACCACGAAAACATGAAAACTTGGCAACCGAGTAGATTCCTCACAACTTCAACATGTTCTGTGTTAGACATGAGATAACTGTTGTATAGCACCCAGCAACCTTCCTCCACACCCTCGGACGCCCCCCACTCTCTCTTCACTGCGGCCACGGCGGTCGCTGCTGGAGCAGTGGGCCCGGGGCCCCAGCCAAAACGAGTCTCAGGCTGAAGGTGTTGGTTCCCAACTATTGTGGGTCTTTCTTCCAAGCCTGCATGGTCGCTACTAAGTAGCGTTGTAAGGTTCTTCTTTCGCACGTACGTGCGCTCACACGTCTGCTAATTAGACTGGCCTTCCCGATAAAGTCCTCAGCCATAGCACAACTGTATGCAAGGGGGTTCAGGAAGACCATCTCTTTCAACAAAAAAGTGGATGCCTCCACCACTAAGTGGTGATAATAGTGGAGTTTTGGTTTGAAAACCCACAAAGGTCTACTGCAATCTCTTGCTAGTGTAGCAAGCTTGCTGTAGCACTGCAAAAACGAAAAGGCACCACGGACAAACCTCTCGCCCAAATTCTTGTCCTGGGCTGTTGGTGAGAACAGGATTGCAGGCCAAAATCACTACAGGGCATACCAGTGTTTCAAAAGAAAAGAAAGTTTGTACTCTTTCATCCAGGGGTCAACCCAAAGGTCAGCCATGTATAAGCTCACCATTGATTCACGAAGGGAACCACACGAAACCTTGATGTAGTAGAGCCCTTTGTCACTGGACACTTTGTCGTCATACAGGTCCAACATGTCCGAGATGAAGGTCAAAATTTTAGCTGTATCAGACGCCTTTGACCAGGTACCTGTTGGGAATGTCTTGGTCCCATCCAAGAAGTTGAGAAGCTGGCGGGTAAAGTTGTAGGTGTGGGTGGTCACATGGTGCATTCTCTTCCAATGACGCCAAGCAGCATTCAAACTCTCAAGCTGCACTTCAACACTTGTTCCACCAAAGATTTTCCCCAACATGAACACCAGGCATGAAGCTGCATGATCTTGACCAAACCCAGCCAAGTACGTATGGAACAAGTCAATGAGGAAGAACTTGGCTGGCTGGGAATGGTAAAGGAAAGATTCTGTGAGCAGACCACAAGTATCCCCCTCATTCCAAGGTGGCACGACTGCGAACTCAGCCATCTCCTGCCGCCACGTAGGGAACTCAGTGTGAATCTCTTCAAACGGGATCTGAGGGTGGCCTGCTGGGCAAAGAAAGCAGCACATGCCAATGGTTTGAGTCTTCTTGGTCTCATCCTGGGGTGCTTTCCTACACGTTGAGTACCAACGTGTAAACTTGCCAGCTCTGGCCTGAAGTTTCAGGTCAGCCGTGAGACCCAGACACACCAGTCGTAAGCGCTCCCCCCCACACAGTTCAACTCCATGCTCGTAGCACTCAAAAAGATCTTTCCCCATTTGCGTCAACATTTCTTGAAAGCGGGAATCATCTTTATGCCAGGCAGCTGGCATGACGGAGTACATGTAGTGAGTTCCGTAGGAGTTTCCAAGCAAATTGATTTGAGACTGGTCCGATTGTTTCTTGAGCTGCCTAATGGAGTGGTCCTTTTTGTTGGCTTGTCCAGTGCCGCTGCCTATTACAGAGCTCCAGTTGAAAACCATGAACTCTGACTTCTTGTACCCTCGGCCACCATCAGCGTGTGCAAATACTGGGATGCACAAACCGTAGTCGACACTTTCTTCAAAAAAAAGTCCGAAGTCTGGGTGGCAGAGTTCATAATTCTTCCAAAACTGTTCCAATTGCTGACGTGCACCAGCAACCTGCTTGCCCCCAAGAAGGCGGTTGAGCCTGCCGCTTTCTCTCATGTATTCCAAAAAGTCTATTGGTTTCAGCCGCGGGTACTGGTCCAGCAAACCACCAGAGATAGGGCTCAAGTCTACCGGCAAGGATAAGTTGTATTTTCGTAGAACGGGATGCGTTTGCTCCTCCGCATTGGCTTCATTCATGCCCTTCATGCGTTCAACAACAGGGCATTTGGCAACCCTGCTAGAAGACCCAGCGGCGTCGTCCCAGGCTTTCTTGGCGCACTTCACCACCTCTGAGCAAGGCACCTCAGCCGGAAGAGGGCAAGTGAAAGAGAAGAGAAGAACTGATGCCTTGAAAGCAAGCTTACCTTTGGTTCAGAACCAAAAGTGCGCACATTTTTTCCGAACACAGCTGATCATACCGGTTTGAGAACCAAGTATGTAAAGAAAGGGCCTTCCCCCATTTGTCTACCATCCCCTCCTGGTCGCACATTTCGGTTCCCAGGTGTCTCTTGGTGAGGCTCAATGAGAACAGCTTCCATCAAAGCTGCCTCTTCCCACCGACTAGAGGCAAAAAGAACATGCATGAATTTGTACCTCTCGTCGCCACAGAAGTAGCCACAAGAATTTGATGAATTAGTGGGCTTTTTGTAAAATCGGAACATAGGGTCTGCACTCACACCTATTTTGAAGACATGGGGGCCTTTCGCCAAAACGTTTGAAATCATTGATCGACAATGTTGGAGTGCGCGACCTGTGGTTGCCTTTGGCTGGGGTAATTTGAGCAAAACCCTGGGATCACTTCCCAAACCCTCCAAGATCAAAGACTTCAGCCTTCGCATTTCTCTCACTGAAGGGTTGAACAGGTTCATGATCCCCATTTCACCTGAGCAACATCTCAACCCTCAACCCGTGTTTGAGAATATAAGAACAACATCGAAAGTCAGAATGATGAGGCTAGCACTCCTTCCAGATTCGACGGGCGCTTCATCATCAGAAGGTTTGATTGCACGGCTGGTGGGCATAGGTTGGGATACCAACATTGCTGCGCCCGAAGATCTGATTCTTTTGGCCGGCTGGCCTTAGCTAACTGGGACAAACAATTGAAGACATACCCAACAAGTTGTTCTTAGCATGAGCACCGCAGCTTGAAACCAAGTGGCTGTGTTCATTTGGCTGTCGTTTTTCACCACAGAAAGGGTCACTGCCATTGCCATTTTGCAGCCGGAACCCCAACAACTCTTCCAACCACAGCACTTCTTCGGATTTCATGTTCTGAGCCATAACTCTTTCAAAACGGTTGTGAAAAAACAGCTGTGGTCCCAGATCTCCTCAAACTGCAGGGACGCCACGTCGGCTAAGGTTGGCACCCCGGCACCAACTTGACCAGCAAGGTACTCAGCCGTTCCGCTCACAGTGGGACCTGGCCGGTTTGCAGAATCACCAAGATAAGGGAACTGTATGTTTTTGTTGCCAATGCTCCAAGTGAAGATTGCTTTTGGGTACTCTTCCTTCAATAATAAGCTTTTTGCAACCCCCAAGATTCTCTCATGTTCAGATGTGTTCAAAAAGAAACACTGGCGGGTTTCAGCCTGTGTCAATGTCTACGAATATGATCCTAAGAACAGCGCCATCAGGTGCCATGTCAAAATTAATTTATCCCCAAGTAAGAGGCATCTCCACACGCTGAAAAATCAGCATGATTAGGAGCGCTGCTTCATTACCATCTACCCCAAAAGGTTTTTCCCTTGGCGGACTGTACAGAGAGTTCCTGATCACTCCTTTGCCGCCTTTGGCTTGCGAAGAAACGGCCTAAGCCAAAGCCAGGAGCAAAGTAGCACGGTAGGTTATGCATTGGATTGCTTTGGGCCCTGAGGTTTGGGCCGGAACTTCTTCTCTGTGGCGGTCCAGGTGGTGAGACTCAGTGGGCAGAACGGCGCTGCAAGCGTGGGACATTGGTGAGTGTGAAAGAGGGATCTAAGAACTTGGCAGTTTTCTTGCATTGACGAAAGTTTCCTTCAAGGTCTTGCTGAACCTTGGGATTGTCCATGCAAAGTGCAAAATGCAGCTTTGTTCACTATCTCCACCAAACAAGAAAAGCCTAGGCACTTCTCCTCGTCAATCTTGCACTTCCCAACCTTGAGATCCCCCTGCATATCTGTGAATTGATCATAGACGTTGTTCAAGTCTTTGTGCAAGGCATCCACCGTCTTGCAAGACCTTATGAAAATTCTACACAGGGAGGTTTGAAGCAGTCCTAATGCTGGGACATAGGAAGGAATCAAAGCTAAGTGGGGCTCTCGGAAGCTCCAGCAGCTGTGCTGTTCCCAAGCTTCTCCCTGAACGAAACCACCTTGTTCAAGACTTGCAGGATCTCCTCCATGTGCTGCTCAAGCTCATTGACCTCTCATGGATGACGAAGTGGTTGTGGGAGCGGATGAGGGATGGATTGATTGAAAAACTTTCAAGTTCTTTCTTTACCCAAACCCAACCTGTGTGACTTTGGCTTCTTTCTCACTGGGGCCGTCGAATCCATGAGAGCGTAAGTCCAGTTTAGAAGGAATCACTTCTTGTTGAAACTTGTCAGTGACACCCTCTGCGGAGACCGTCTCTTTGAGCTTTGATGCTTGTCGGTTCGTGGCAGTGCCCTTGACTCTAGTGTTGGCCCAATACAAAACAATGTTCGGATCAAGCTCGTCCAGCCTAGGTTGCCCAAAATATACACCAACAAAACCCTTATATACAGAATATTTAAACACACAACTAACACTGTTCAAACAACATGTACAAGTATGCAAAGTCAGGACTCATCATGAACTCCGGGTTGTTTTGCCCACGTTCAGTGGCAGCTTTAATTTGAGTCCTGGGCGTGGGAGCAAACATTCAACCAGAACACAGAGATAATCCTTTTGCAACATTGAAAATGCATAAAAAGCAACGCAACTACTGTCAGAATACTTGCCAGGGGTCGCTGTGAACTTCAAAACATCTTTCATCTCCTTCTCTGTGTAAAAGCCCCCTTCAGTCTCCAATTGGTTGATTTGCTCAACCGATTTCTCCAACTGAACCACCTTGATAAACTGCTCCTTGAGGGGTTTGCGTGTGAGGAGGAGAATGATTACTGTGGGATCCAACTACAGTTTGTAGCAAACTGGAACATTCTACACCAGCTGACCAGTCAGTCCTTTTCCCCACCAGTTTTGATAAACGCCTCAAACAACTTCTCCCGTGTAGCCCCCTTGGCTTGATACTTCTCAAAGACATCTTTAGGAACCTCGATGTTCCCTGAAGCCCTCTTCGGCTCACACATTCTTCGGAACTTGCCCTTCCAATACTCAACCTGCTCTTGGTCAAGCATGACCCCGGCGATCGACCTCTTGGTACCACCTTTTGCAACCTTAGAGCGCCCCACCAACAGAAAAGACCATGATATGGATTATATACAGTGAGTAAAGGATGCAGGCGCCCCCCAAAATAAACTATACTATAATTCATTCTCAAGTACATTGCCCGTAACTCCCGGCGACGGCGACGATGACTGGGAGGAGGTTGGCGGCGGCGTCAGTGAGGAATTTGGCTGAGATGTCGGGGTGCTCAAATCCTGACCGACGTGCCGGGCCACATTGACAAAAGTTCATTGAAAGGGGTTACCGACAAAAACTTGGCAGAATGAAAAACATACTCTTCAAGTTGATTGGAATGAGCTTCTCCATCAGAAGTTCCACCCTTTGCTTGTTCAGGGGAAGTGAGCTCGCCCCGAAAGATCTGATAGGGATCCGTACATGTAGGCTTGAAAGTTTCCAAGGTTGATGCTAAAGCCAACCTCAACATCAAGTCTTCGTCGGAATCCATCCCCCCATCGAAGCAAGTGCCAGCGACTTTCTCTGGGGTCAATTCCGAAGAGGCCAGAAGTTCCAAGTAAGGATCTCCCTCCACAGCCTGGGCATGAAAAATACTTGACATGTACCCGTTCCTGATTCCATTCTAAAGTTTGAACAAGGGAACATTAACCCAAGCAGTTTGCTAATTACTTTCAAGCAACACATGGATCCATGTGTTCTTGCGACGGTGAATCTTCGTGTTTGACATCCCCACAAGTGTTTAGATACGGGCTGGGAAGGGTCTCTGCTTCTGCCACTGCCGTCTTCGCTTCCTCCACTTTGGCGGAAAGCTCCTGGAAGGGCAATGTTGCATTTTTATAGCCTACGACAAACACACTCAAGCACTTCCTGAAGCATCGGGAACAAATTAACCCACCATTGTCAACACAATCCTTCACATATTGACGAAGAACTGCTGGGTCAGAAGGCATGCTCATGGTTTGTTCCACCACGCTCAAAGCATCTTCCAAAGTAGAACAACTCCACATCCGACTCCGAAGTGGTTCCGCAACACGCTCCATCAGATGTGTTTTAGTTGGCAGCTTGAGCAAACTGTATCGAGCTAAGAAGTTAGCTCATACAATGGAGAAAAAAGCATCAGCAACAATCAAAACATAACAAAACATGATAACCCAGCATTCCAAACATGTAGTGTTCATGACACAACTTGTGCGTCGTTTTATGCTGCTTTCGCGTCGTTTTTTGCTGCTTTCCGCGTTGTGTTTTTAGTCGCGATGTTGAGGGCTGCGTTGTGTTTTTGGTCGAGGTGTCATATTTTTGGTCGTTGGCGTTGTGTTTTTAGTCGTTGCGTTGTGTTTTTGGGTTTCTTGCGTCGCAAAGTGTTCAAAACTTGTTAAAACTTGGTAAAACTGTATCATGATGGTCATAGTAGCGGATAAACTGTGTAAACCTTCATGATTCTGGTGAAAAGACATGTGCAAACCCCATTCGACAAGAAGAACTGGTGGATCTCTAGCAAAGTCTATGGCAAAGTCTTTGAGATACAGCTGGCTTGGTAAACACAGAAGTTCTTAGCCCAGAGTGCTACCATGCAGGACCGGGAACCACATGAACTCCAAATATAGCTAGACAGAAGAACATTGACAACATGGTTCCTCGTTGAAACCCAGAAGGTAGATATTTTGGCTGGAAGGCAGTGCCTAGGCTCCATATAGTGCTCAGAAACGCTTTGGGAGAATCAGCTTGAATTATATTGAATTATGGAAGCCCCCACTTACCATTCAAAAGTGCTTTGGTAGCACCGGCCTCCACTCTACAGGGATCCGTAAGCTAGTGGAACCGTACAGGTAGTGGATTAGAGGTCGGAGCTGTACATCCTCCCAATCATCACAAGGCCAGCTCTCAAAGAGCTTGATAGAGTCCACATCATCATCATGAGAGACATACTCGCAGCGAGGTTTGAGGAGCTGCAAGAGGGATGCGATCTTCTTTCCAAAGCCTTTGGGATAGTGCCTTAACGCAACCATTGAAGGGATGCCCATTTACCCTCTAAAGGGACCACCTCAACCAAGCTACTCCTGTGCTCAACAAGAACTGGGTACCCGGCTCCGTTTTGGTCAAGTCCGCTGTTCCATGATATCGAGGCTTGCCCTCGGAGTCTTTGTACTTCTTCACAGGCTGGGGTGGGTTGGGATCGAGCGCGCGAGCTTGCTCCACTTTCACTCGTTGTAGCCTCCTAGTCCAGAATTGGCCAACTGCCCGACTTGAAGACCATAGAACCGTCCTCTTTGGAGTTCTTGCACCGTACCACCACATCCAAAACCCACAGCGATATATCTGACCAGGGTGAGCGATGAAGAACACATGTACCCCCCACTCCTGCTGAACCCAGCAAATTCAAACGTTCGGGCACCAAACATAGGGCCCAGATTGGACCCATACACTGCAAAACCCAACATATTTCTTGAGACTTGGGGGGTCATCAACAGAAGTACACACATTATCCAATAAGTCTGGCCTCAAAGGAAGCATGAAGACATTGCATCCTTGGGTGGTGCATGATGAGTGAGGAAATCGGCTGCTCTATGACAAATGTCCCATTGAGCGCAACCGTTAAAAGGCAGAGAAGGGCCAGTCTGTCAGGGTTCTGTCTGAGGAACATCTCATTCAACACGTTTTGTTCCAGCCGCTTTCAAACTGCCGCTGTACCAACTACTTTTTGTTGACCACATAATTGATCCCAACAACCGCCTTGCAGTCATAAGGTTGGCACGTCGGTTTGATTCTGAATCCACCCCCAAGGGGTTGGATTTGCTACGCCCAGTGGACCCTCTACTCGTTCCAATCCATGTTGAGCACTGGATGCCCATCCAGTGCACAAATCCATCAGCATCGCCTTTGAGAACTGCCACAAGAGCAGCCCTTAGCTAACAACAGAACCCCACTGCTAGATTCTTAGATCACTAGTTGTGGGATGGTAGACCACCAAATCTGAAGAATCACCTGACAATTGAAAAGATAGAAGAGCACGGTTGTTTCATCAAAGGCTCCCCATTCCAGAGTTGGAGTTTATGTCCAGCGTTTCTGAATATTTGAGATCCAAAGCAACTGCCATCCGCTGGGGGAAGGTTGACTGCACAGATCGGGTGGCTTCAGCATTCCCAGCAAACGATTCTATGAAGAACAGCTCCTGGAGCATTATGGGTCCCCCAAAATCTTGTTGTTATGAAGCCAAACTTACATTCAACCTCTCATTTAATCATTTAATCAACTTGCAAAAAGCTCCTGGCTATGATCAATCCATGTGTTCCATAAGAGCAGCAGGCAGGCGAATGCCAGCACCTTGGATCCGGTCCTATAGAAAAAGCAACGTTCCTCCACAAGACTTTGCAATCCCAAGACCAACCAAGGCACTTTGGGGGCCTTTAGTTTATAGAGTCGTTGAACCACTTGGCCAGCAGTCCACGCCATTGCCACGTGAAATCACGTGAAACAAAAAAGCTGGAAAGACAGCATTGGAGTTGCACCTTTTTGTTTTATTACTGTGTGTGTATTCAGTAAATGTCCATGACTTGTCATGCCTTCCATTGTTCAGCCCTTCCCAGCTGCAAAAGCAAAGGTTGGAAAGTGCAGTGTGATGCAGTGTGTAATATGAAGCACGTGACTGCCGTTGCTTCCATGACTTGGTAGCGGAGCTCGAAATCATGCCAGATTGACTTGAACGGGGCTGATCAAGCAACCCCATTTTGGCCTCGCGCTTCTTCCCACGCAAAGCCTTCATCACGCTCATGGCTCCGCAGGCCTCCAAGGCCATGAGCAAGAGGAATGTGTGTAAAATCTTCAAGCGTGCAAGAATTACCCAGTTCAGGAGTCCTCGAGATGCAATGCACGAGGGGTGTTTTTTTCCAAGGAGGCGCGCTGCCCCATGAACTAGGAACTCCATCCAAGTCACCTCTCGCCAGCATTCGCCAGCCACTCGTCCACCAAGGCTGGTTTCCAACAGGGTTTGTTCAACAAAGTTCACACATTCCAGACGAGTACGGCTGTCTAAGAGCTGGCCACCTAACAGCTTGATCAAACATGGTGTCTGAAGAGGCAGGATTTGGGTGGTATGGGCCTTGACGTTCTTGACTCCCAGACGCAAGCTACCCTCAGGGCCTTCACACTCCCCACTGCCAGCAGACAACAATCGCAAAATTCTACTCAATCTGCCCCCTCAGAAGATGGCTTGTCGCCACCAGAGGCTTCCTTCATCTCAGCATTCTGCACGGTCTCAGAAGGAGCCAGAGGATCAGGTTTTGCCCTCCGTCCAGGCTTCTCCTTGGGCGGTGTCTCCACTTTCCTGAGTTGTTGCGGCAAGAACCGGAATCGATGTGAACTTGTGTTGTTCATTGGAACTTAGTTGAACACATGTCCAAAAATCTTGGGTTCTCACTTCCATTCAGCAAAGAACTTCTCTGTGGCGGCCACAATGTAGGAGAAATCGGAAGGGTCCCTGGACTTGCTGGCTTTCTTCTCCGCCGTGACCATGCCGCAGAACAGGATCTTCAGGGCACACAGATTTGGGTTTTCATCAAACTGTGTGAAACCACTGAAGTTGATACACTAAAAAAAATCATACAGTACAGGGATCAGACAAACAAAAACTGTGGTGCCTGGGCTTTGTTCTTGGCACCCTTTGGCAAGCTTGGCTGAATGCTCTCCTCGAAGGCCATCGTGGTCCTGGCATATTTCTCGAATGCCCATCCCCCCTCTGGGCGGGCTCGGCCCCCAAAGGTGTTGGGAATCTTTCCCTCATCATCGGCTTTCTTGACATCTGCGGGAAGCCCATCAGTCTTGTCCTTCTCCTTCTCAGCAATTCGAGCTGTCTTGGCCTTTGGAGGCCGTGGCTCTGGGGCATTCACATCCTCATTGTTTGCTGCCGCTTTGGTCTTCCTCGGCCTCCGTGGTTGCTTGGCCTTGTCAGCAC